ATACAAGACTATGCTTTGGGTATACACTTGAAAAATGACTTTTGGAGAAACAATCAAAACACTGGCAGGAAAGGGTTTTACTCCAATGCCTTTTCTTTATCCCAGAGATCTATATTTCCAACTTACTAGGAAGTTATGTAACTATGGGCTGGTTAATCTTTTCTACATTTTCTTCTTCAATTACATGGGATAGAAGTATCATTTGTTGTGGATTAAATGAGTTAATACGTATATTAAATGTAATGTATGCAGAGCCTTTGGAATAGTTCTTGGCCCACTGTATGCACTCAATAAATGTTAACTGCTTGCATTATTATTATCCATTATCTATCTTGGTCTTACTAAATAATGCCTATTAAGGAACAACCAGCAGCCTTACGTCTTGGAATCAGTGAGCCTGAAGGTCATAATAGAGTCAACAAGTTCAATGAGGCAAAGGCACACAGACCTAGTTTTTCTGCCAGGAATGCATCTTCATATGGAAAAGAGGTATATCATGAAAATCCAGTAGGCCTTCTCCAAAGTAAAAATGGGAAACTATCAACTCATACATTGAGAAATCAAAACCAAGGACATAAACTGAGGGAGGAAGGCGGCAGTGAGGGTCAGCCTATCACCTCAGAAGAGACTCTGAAACTACACTCCAAAAACTAAGAACTTTGAAAACCTTGTTTTTGTCATTCCCTGTGTGTAAAATGCCGTGTGCTTCAGAAACAGCAACATTACTAGAAACAGTAACAATAAGAACACTCAGGATTTGTCTTCCTGGTCTCTACCAGGTCAAACACAGCCTATATATCGGTGCTTTCAATCATCTGGGGATCTTGCAAAAATGGAAGCTGTAACTCAACAGATTCAGGGTGAGGCTTGAGATTCTACATTTCTAAAAAGCTTGCATGTAATGCTGAAACAACTGGCATATGGACCAAGCTGTGAGTAGCAAGTGCAGTATCATCTTATTTAACTTTCACAACCACTCCATAGTGTAAGAATTATTCCACAAATGAGGAAACCGAAGCTGGGAAACTGCCCAAGATCAAAGCGCTATATAAATAGGGTGGTATTTCAACCTGGTCTGTGTAACGTGGTGATCTCTCTACTACACCACAGCGTACCCAAGGAAAGCCAAAGAGGAGACACCTAGAATCCTAGGCAAACTTTCTGGGCACCCTTAAGTTACAGGTGTTCCTAAATCCCAAGCAGACCCGCCCACGAGGAGACCGCACAGTCACCAGGCAGGAGTTACGGCAAGGTGTGAGACAGCGCGAGAGCGGGGCGCAGAGAGGAGGATGCACCCAAAGATGCCGCCCCTTCTCCAGGCAGTTGAACCTCTCGCAGCTCACTTAGCCATCGAAGGGACACTGCGGAAACCCTTAGTTTGCAAACTGCTGGGACTTTCCAAGTTTACACACACAGCCCGACGCTGCCGAGTTCTGGAGACCCTCCGGGAGACGCGACCCTGGGGCCAGAGGGCCTGCCCGCTGGACCGAGCTGCCCGCCCACCTCCGAAGCCCCTCAGGGACGGAGCGCACCCCCCAAAACCCCGCTCCTCGGGGGTGCGGGGGTAGAGGCACGAAGGGGCCGCAGGGGGCGGCGACTCCCGGGCGCCCGAGGCGCACGCCGAGCCGGTGGGCTCCGGGGGCGGGCAGAGCGCAGGGCGGGGAGGCGGCGGGGAGGCTGGGTTCCCGAGCGGGGGAGACCGGAAGCGAACGCCGGGAAGGGGAGGGCTGGGGGCGGCGGTTACAAACCCCACACTCCAAAAAAGGCGCGCTCTCTCGTCCGGCCGCGCTCACTCACCTCCCCCGTACACGCCGCCGCTCATGGCTGCTGTCAGCACGACTCCCACGCTAAAGGCTACCGAGCGAAGTGACTGCAGCGGCCGCGACTGCGGGTCTGGAGAAGCACTAGCCCCCGACCCTCTTAACTTCCACCGCCGCCCCCCTCGGGCAACAAAGCGACGTCCGCACACCCCGGCGCGCAGCCACACTTGCTGGCTCCTCCTGTCAGCCAATCACTAGGGTCCCAGCCTTTAGCCAGCCAATAAGAACGCGGTTATGCTGCATCCCTGCGGCGGTCCTACCAGTTTAGCCAATCGAAGGTGGCCATGGGGGCGGGGAAAGGGCAAAGCGACGGAAGGAGAGCAGGAGTTGGGTTGCAGGGCTGCAGGGGGAGGAGCCTCCCGGGTGGGCGGGAGAGTGGGCGGAGGGAGCGCGCGCAGGAGGAGGACGGCTGGAGGGCAGTGTCTGGGGCGGGTCTAGGGGTGTGGCTGGGCGCGGAGGAGCTGCGGGAACCCCGGTAGACTTGTGGAAATGGTCTGGAGTTTGAGAGACAGAGACTCCACTTAGCGACTACTGTCTAGTGCGTGTGCTGAATGTAGAAAATATTTCAGAAGAAGTATTTTCAACTACGACAACTTTTATGTTGAAAAAAATAAAAATGTGCTCCCGTTTCAGGTACGGGTAATCAGTAAATCAGACTATGTGATGGCATTCTGCAATTTTTAAAATAGTTATTATTAATAATAGTTAAAAGAAAAAAGAGATGGTACATTACGTCAACTAAACCTAGGTAGTGTTGCCGCCTCAAGGCCACATATGGTTCTCCAGATGCCCAAACTTCACAGAAAATTGTAAAATTGGGACTCAGTCAAAAGGCCACACTCAAGGATCCAGAAGGCCACATGTGGCCCCAAGGAGGCAGGTTCCCCACCCCTGAATCGATCTTCAAGCAAGCACCTAATACTAGATACATCCTCACACTGTGTACTGTCCTTAGTCCCCTAGTTCTACCAGCCCAGTCCAGATCACCTTCGTTTCTCCCCTGTATTACTGCAACAACTTGTCACTCTGCCCCTTTGCCACTCTGCAGGCAGCCCAATCTATAAATCTGGTCATGTCACATGACCTTTAGAGTGCTGCATATCCTTGTAATTGTTGGCAGTTCTTAGGGAAACGTGAATGAGAACACTCTTTCCCATTCACTTGATAATACAATCACAGAATATCTAATCATTTATATTATTAGAAACCCCCATTAACCCAATGAGGTAATGTAGAGGTCAGGAATGAGATAATATGGAGGTCAGAGGTCAGGGTCAAATCCAATAGGCCATCTTTTTTGGTATGGCCTGTGTGCTAAGAATGATTATTCTGTTTTTGAATGGTTTTTTAAAATATTTTTAAGAATAATATGGGAAAATAACATGCAATTCAAATTTCAGTGGCTTCAAACTAAGTTTTATTGAAACACAGCCAGGCTTATTCATTTATGGCTGCATTTGCTCTACAAAGGCAGAGTAGTTGCAAGGCAGACTGTGTGGCCCACTAAGCTGGAGAACACATTTACTTTCGGACCCTTTACAGAAAGAGTTTGCTGACCCCTGAGATAACACATGTGACACAGCTAGCCCAGCTTCCTTAAGTACTCTATGTTAACTGTTGTCACCATGATTGCAGCTCTCACTATAAATGCACATCAAATCCCCAAAATATTTCTGCTTCCACCCTGTTTTTATGTTGTGTTTGTCTAATAAAGCTGGCGAATTATAAAATATTGTGATACTTTCTAATAATTAAATATTGAAGAGATACTCTTTGTGAGTTTATATTATAATACACAGTAAACCATTTAAATCAATTTAGCATGTAAATGCCTAGTAATTCATATATAGCAAATTAAATAGATTATATATATTGAAATCTCTCTTCAATACTATTGCCAACATTTCTTATGCATATAAGAGACTATATCCTAGAAGTAAGATAACTATCTAAGCTGAAAAGAGTGAAATATTTGTCTCACTAATTTGGAGTTTATCAGAAAACAAAACAGTTCAACAGGGTGGTTGAAGAACACACCTTACTCTCAGGGAAGCCTGATGGCAATGCCTTCTCTCACAGAGGCCATGCTGTGCACACAGCACAGGGAAATCTTAAATCTGATAGCACAAAGACAGCGTGAGAGAATACTGGAAAGTCTCACTTAGATATTTTTGCTTAAAGTAAGAATTTTGCTCCATTTGAGAATTTGGAACGATATTAGAAAACAGATCATTCATTCATAATTTCAGGTCAGCATGGTCTTTTGATGTATCATTGAAATCATTATTTTAATAATAAACTACTGAAATGAACTTCAAAGGATATAAACTTCTCTACGGAAAATCTGATATGTCAAGACTAATCACATGTTGACGCATACAAAAGTGCACACACTTAAGCCTTTGATAAATTTTAATCAACAAAAAGTGTAATAGAACACTAAGATTATTGGCCCTGAAGTATTGAATTACTGGAGGATGGGATTGTTCAGAAAGGAAACCCATTCAGCAGCCTAATAGAACAATGTTGGGGGATTTCGCATCCTCTGTAATAATGACATTATTTCTTATGAGATAGTATGGCAGCTTGTTTTCTTTAATTCTTAATAATTAAGAAAACTAGTTGAAAATGCAATAGAAGAAAAGTACTAACCCAGCAGAATCTATTTTATAAAGTATAAAATATCTGAGGGTTGGGGATCTTTGCATTAATATTTCTCCTCTGTAACCTAAAATGTTTTCTCTAAAGTCTTGGCTCAGCCTATGTTAATGTTGCCAATAACTAGTCAGATTAAAAAACAATAACAACAACTCAAGTTTATCTGTTACTTACTTTATTTCTCAAGGGCACAATATACCAAAGCCGTCAATGCTCGCAATTTTTCCCTCTGAACCAGCATATTAGGTGTGTCAACCTAATAGCAAAAGATGTTGAAGTAACATGTATATAAATGTATCTAGCCTACAGTAGGTGCTTAATGGTTGATTCTGAATCCAGATCTATAAAAATAAATGCCCTTACAAAAATCCTTTGTAATGTATAAGCATCAGGCATTTCCTCTGGACTCAGGTGCAACGTGTGGCTTTGCCTCATGGGGTCGCTGGTCTTCCATTCTCCTAACGCTGCACCAGGACTGCTGATGCCTCATCCTGGCTACTTTTTTTCACCAGTTATGTCAGCACTCAGATTATGGAATTTCCGCAGTCATTACAAAATGTTACTGATCTTGTATTCTATCTCAGCTTTTATTAAGTTTGGTATTGAAAAAAATATTGCAGCTGTTACTCATGCAAGCGAGGAAACAAATTCATAGGATTATCACCAATCTGTTAGGAAGAAATGACACAAAAATTTATGTATATTTAGAGTTATTTTATTTCATGCTGCAAAATATGCATTATTTTGCAATTAAAGTTAGCAATTATAAAAAGCAATTTTCAATATAGACATTTTTGTGTGGATATGTGTATGTATAAGGAGTCATTATAAGTACCATCATCTATTTACTGATGTTCCAAAAATATAACACTCACACAAACACTACTGAGATAAAGGATAAATATCAGAAGATAGGGTTTTTCAACAGTAGAAATATAATTGGTTAGATTCACATATGTGTTTGCCATTAGAATAGTAAGAGATCTGCTAATCATTTCAGTAATAATGACCTAAATATACAAAGAAGCATATAAAAGTATGTTTGTCATAGCTACTACCTTTATAACACACTAATAGGTTTGTTATGGTATTAACGATGTGGTCCTGAAAAGAAAAAAAGATGAAGTACTATATGCTCTGTTAATTTTACAAGTATACTGTTATTTCATTATCACTTTTAAAATCTCCTCTTCGTTCATTTGCCATAGCTCTTGTGAGAAGTTACAAGGCGAGTCAGCAATGCCAACATTTATTTATTAATTTACTTATTCTTATTTTACTGCAAGCTTCTTAGCAATACCAACATTTAATCAATTGGTGCCAGAAAGTGGTACTGGGCCACCTTGGGTCACTTTGGGGCAAGTCAGGGCTGCCCACTGACCCAGGTCAATGGTAATACCATGATATGTGGCTGTTACATAGCCCAGGGAACAACACTCACCCAAGTCCAGGGTTCTTGCTATACATGGATTCTTTTCTTTTTTTGAGACAGAGTCTCACTCTGTTGCCCAGACTAGAGTGCCGTGGCATCAGCCTAGCTCACAGCAACCTCAAACTCTTGGGCTCAAGCGATTCTCCTGCCTCAGCCTCCCAAGTAGCTGGGACTACAGGCATGTGCCACCATGCCCGGCTAATTTTTTCTATATATTTTAGTTGGCCAATTAATTTTCTTTCCATTTTTAGTAGAGACGGGCTCTCGCTCTTGCTCAGGGTGGTTTTGAACTCCTGACCTTGAGCAATCCGCCCGCCTCGGCCTCCTAGAGTGCTAGGATTACAGGCGTGAGCCACCGGGCCCAGCCTACATATAGATTCTTTAGAAGCTTTAAAACTGTTTTGAAATAGAAAAGATTTCATCTGCCCTATGATAATAACTGCAAATTATTGACCTTTAAATATGTGGCATCTTAAGAAAGGTGCTTTATGTATAATATTTTCCATTTAATCCACAGAACAGCCCTCTGACGGTTTTGCAGAAGAGGCCCAGAAATTCAGCAACTTGTCCAATATCACACAGCTATTGAAAGAGTCAGAATTTGAAACAAGAGTTGTTTGACCCTACCAAGCATGCCGTTTCTACTTCAAGGTAACTTTTCCTTTCCACTTCCATGCTTCTAATAAACTTTCAAAACAATGATTTTGGAGGGGAGGCAAGATGGCTGACCAGAGACATTGGTCACCAGATCATCTTAGAAAGAAGGAAAAGTGTTAGATGAAGAAAACATACCCAGGTGTAATTCTGAGGGAAAAGTGCCAGAACCTACCAGAGATTCTACAGGAAGAAATTGTGGAGCAGAACAAGAAGGAGTAAGATTTTGGCAGAGATCAACCTCTGAGGAATTTTCAGGAAAATCCCAGGAAGAAGCCACCCTCCAAACAGATATGGTGCCAAGAGACCAAAGAAATGACCCAGGCAAATCAAGCTTGACGGGTTAGATGAGTTTATTAGAGGTTACTTACACAGGGCTCTCTCACTCTTGGGTGGCAGCTAGAGTTCTCCAGAGAGTAATATCTGCACTGCCTGCCTGACTGTGGAGCCTTAAATTTCTTTCTGGCAAGTGATGCAGAGCTCTCTCTGTCCCTTTCCTTCTCTCTCTCTCTCTCACTCTCTCCATCACTGTATGTTTACAGACAATGCAAGTTAAGCACGCACAGTATTTCCCATTAGGCGAGGGCTTTAGTACTACAGTTAACTAAAGAGTACTTAGGCAATTAAGGAATCTTAAAACTGTCCTAACTGGTCTTAAGACTTATGACCATCGATACAAAAGGAGCTACTTAAGAATATTCTTTGTGCTTTGTATTTCTGTCATCTTTTTTGCTTTGATCCATATCTCTAAATTCAAGAGAAACTTCCATGAGTTCTGTTAAAAATTAAAAGCCAGTAGTAGGGAAATTGTATGTTTATCTCACCATGGAAAGGGTAGGTGGGAGTGTTTGTTTTTCCTCCCCTCACACTTTTGGCAGATTGTAGGCTCCCAAACTATTGGAGAACTTTTCTACTCTCATGAGCCCAAAAGCTACTGCTGCCAGTGAACTGGGAGCTTCTTGAGAATAGAGCACTGGGCTTCCAGCACCTTCAGGGTTGGTCCCCCTCACCACAGACCTGAGCCAAGGTGGTGGGTGCCACACTGCTTCTCCACCCATTGTGTGCCTTTGTCCTACCCAGGGAGCTTCAGCCCTTCAGTTTCTTGTCACTGGGCCCCACACAAACATCTTCCAACAACTTCTCAGACTGTGGCAGCCACAGGGGGTTGGTGGGTCCCAGGGGAGCTGTGTGATCCCAAAGCTTGGACATTCAGGGTGGAGTGCCTTCAGGGGAGAGGAGAATGCAGCAAGCCAAGGGAGGTCCTCAGGACAAAGGGGACCAGAGTGACAGCTCTCCTCCATTCGCTCTTCTTCTCCTCCTCTAACAACAGCTGCTGATAAAGCCTTGGAAGTTCCCACGTGAGTTAGTACAAGTGCCCCAAAGGATGATTGAGCTTAGGCTCTCAGGAGCAGTTGCTGTTGATGTGCCCACATCCTCTTAAAGACCTTCAGTGGACCAAGGGGTACTTGGACAGTGAGCTCCCTGTCCATGGGCCCTCCCCGCTGCTGTTGCCTGGCTACTCCAGCAGAACAGGGCATACCTGAAAGCAGAAGGACATTAAGCCTGCTTGAGCACTCCAGGGCAACTTGGGACCAGCATGCTTCTTCCTGGCACAGTCAGAGATTGAACTTGGGGGATCAGAGGACAGGCCTGTAGGCTGGATTTCATACACTTAGCATTTGATCATGCTGCTCAGAGGTACAGTGGGGAGATTTGTGAACTAATCTCCAGAGGCAAGGGAGCCCACACAGGCAGAACTAAAAGAAGAGTATAGTGTGGGGTTGAGCCACAGTGCACTAGTGGAGCACTCCTACCCCCACAGGAAAGCTGCATTTTCTATCTTGGGTGGAACCTTGGGCAGGGAAGCTCCCAGCTTACAGTGGCATTACTGGTGAGCTCAGCTAGTTTGGGCTGCTGCTTGTGGTCAGATGCTGGAAGAAGATCCATGGGGCTAGGGAAGAGAGAGAAGAGCAAAACCCACCACCATCTGCCAGACCATGAATCTCAGATTGCCCTTCTTCTATGAGCAGACTTTTTGGCTTGGTGGGGCACTTCAGCTCCTTCCTGGTGGCTTTCCCCAGGGATCAACCTCTGCCAAGACAGCCCTTGTCCTCACCTTTGTGGAGCCTGAATGCAGGCTCACCTGACCCAGCCCCACCCAACCTTATTCCTCCACCCACCTCAGCTGTAGTGGAACACAAGAAGAAGTGATCTGGGAGATCCAGCACACTGCCCACTGCCTGGGACATGTGAGGGTTTCTGCTGATTGACTAGAGCTGGTCACAGGTCCCCAAAACACCACTGCAGCTGGATCTTTCCCGCAAGTGCCACCTACTGGCTGGAAGGATAACTTGTACAGCTCATTATAGCATTTACTGATTCAATCATACAGAGCATGGCTGAATCTCACCCACAAGTGCCACCTGCTGACTTAGAGATTAAACTAGGCATCCCAATATAATTCATACCATTAAGAAAACCACAGGGCTGGGGAAAGAGAAAGGATTTAAAAGACCTGCATCTATCCTTGTCAACAAGAGACAGAGAATCTGCTCATGCATGTAGTACAGCATTGCTATAGCCTACAAATAACTACCAATTAAGAAAATGACCTCACTAAGGATATCTATAACCAACTTATCCATGCAGAACCTAGACTCCCATCAAAGTACCCACAAGTAAACCCAAAGGTCTTTACCCAACATATGCTACAGGCACACCCTTAAGAGTTGGGAGGTGGGGGGTGATGTCCTATCTAAACAAAAGAAAATCCCAAAATAAGAAGCAAAAGCTACTCCAGATGAGAAGAAATCAGCACAAGAACTCAAGAAGTATGAAAATTGGAGTGAAAAGACCTTCCCAGAGGAGCATACTAGCTCTCTAGCAATAGATCCCAACAAAAATGAAAATACTGAGATGACAGATAAAGAATTCCAAATATGAATTGTAAGGAAGCTCAATGAGATCTAAGAGAAAATGGAAAACCAACTCAAAGAAACCAGAAAAATAATTCAGTAAATGAGTGAAAATTTTCCTAAAGAGATAGATATATTAAATAAAAATAGAACTTCTAGAAATGAAAAATTCATTTAGGAAAACAAAAAATACAGTGGAAAGTTTTAAAATAGACTAGACCAAGCAGAAGAAAGAATTTCAGAGCTTGAAGACAACTCTTTCAAATTAACCAATTCAGTCAAAAATAAAGAACAAAGAATCAAGAGGAACAAACAAAGTTAAGAAATATGAGATTATATAAAATTGCCAAATATAAGAATCATAGACATCCCTGGGGGTGAAGAAGAAAACATAAAAGGCATGGAAAACCTATTTGAGCAAATAAGTGAGGAAAACTTCCCTGATCTTGCTGGAGATTTAGACAACCAGATACAAGAATCTCAACAGACATCTGGGAAATTCACTATAAAAAGGGCATCACTAATGCATATAATCATCAGACTGGACAAAGTCAATGTGAAGGAGGAACTCCTATGAACCATGAGGCAAAAAAATCAAGTAACTTACAAAGGAAAACCCATCAGACTAACAGCAGACTTCTCAACAGAAACCTTACAAGCCAGAAAA